TTACTATGATGCAGATCATCCAAATTTTACTATGTTTTACAACCTCCTATAGATCGGCGGGAAATGTCCTGTGACTGCTATGATCATTTCTAAATTTAGGAAAAATATTACCAAATTTAGACTAGTTATTGACTATCGTATCTAAACTTGGCAGTAAGAAAACTAAAATCACGTGAAGTCCTATTTTTTGAAAAAAATTTATTACATTTTTGAACGAATTACAAAATTGCTATTTTGAAATTTGGTTGCATGGCGCAGCATTAGGAGGTCTTTAGACCGAGCCAACCATACCAGAATGAAACATACAGTGTGTTAAGAAAAAACAGCAGTGACAAAAAATTGCATATCTCAACAATTACATAACATAATTAAATAAATTTAGATTGAAGGTTTATCAAAAAAAAAAAAAAAAGAAATGATATGCTATTGCCAATTTTTCTGTAAAGCTAATTCATATCTTTTTTTAAAACTTTGCAAATTCTTGTCTCTGAAATCTGAAATTTTAACATGGAAATTTTTAATAATAAGCCTGTCACATAATAATCATACAAAAAATCATACCATTTTGTAATGAAAGTTCTGGAGATTATATATATATAAACTTTCATACTTCCAGATTTTCTGGAATTTTGTCAATTGGAAATAAAAGGGATTTGATTATTTTGAAAAAAACAATTCAATGTGTAAATACCAATAAATCAAACTTCCATCATGCTAGGTTAATAAAGGAATGTAGCTCAATGAGAGCATGTATCTTACAAGTATAAATGTGACAGTTTGATCACTGGCATCAACAAGAAAGTTGTAAAATAAAATGATTCAGGTTTTGTTTGGTATAATTAATCATTCCCAAATTCTCTATTTCTCTTTAATTTTTATTGACCAACTGAACTTGTTGTTTAAGTGGGGGTAGGGTTATTGGTGAGTAGGCATGCCACTGATAAGACAGCAACCCAGGACTCAAAACCCTAAATTCAGGGAAAATCCAAATTCTTTTGTGCTAATTTAAGTCCCATCTTTATTTACTTATATATAATCTATTGGTTCTCTTTTTACTAGTCGAATGATGCCAAATTGGGTAATGGATATATCAGTAAATATCAGAATCTGATTATTCTTTTAAGGTATTGGCATACTGATAGGTTAATAATATTCTTAGTATTTTTATCATATAGTCTAAAAGCCTATTCTATTAGTAAATATTGAAATTATCTTAAAATTAATACTATTTTTTTAGTTAATTATTGGCTTAATTTAATAAACCAATAGCTCTTTTATATTGTAATTAAGTTATTGGTTAAATATTTCTAAAGCTCTTTGAAAATAATATCATAATCTTGAGTATTAGTTAGGGTTTCTATTCAAATAAGGATTATTTGAATAAAATGAATAAAATCAAATAAGTGAATAATAATAATAAAGCAAATAAAAGAATAATTCAAATAAGAATTTGTATTACAAATAGGAACTCTAAATGTACAAATTTTTGTGGTGAATATGTAACAATCCGACTTATAACTAACCAACTGTATCTAAACATGGCATTATGTATAAAGTTCTCCATTCCAATTTTGATAAGAAATGAACCATGGTATAAAAATTATAGATTATGTATGTATTTAGAAACAGGATCCTTCCAGCATCTCTACTTTGCAACACATTTGTTAAATTAAGCTACAAGCTATTATAAATTTTTTGAAATTATTATGTATATTTTGCATAGTTAACGAATTTAGAATGTCTGAAATTTTTGGGTCAAACATAAACCAAAAAACCAAACTGAACTTTACTTGTAGCCTAGGTTCTGTAGAATATGCATGTAAAATTTCTTGTTTCCTGATTTTCTATATCATTTATTAATTAAAAATAAAGGAAATTTAATTATTCTAAGAAAAAAAATCTGTTTTATAATCAACAAAACTTTAATTTTGAAGTTATCGCAAAAGAAATCGATCAACTTGAGGTTGATCATTCCACTTTGATAAATCTCAATCATAAGGTTAAATGGCCTTCCAAACCACTCGACATTGAAGACATGCCACACTACAACACATTGCATCAAAAAGAAGCTGAAGTCGCATCCTCGCTTCGAATGTCACCTTTGCAGTACCTAGAATCAAAAAAGATACTGATTACATCTGCAAGGGAATATAGGCAACAACAAATCGATTTCAAGAAAAGTAACGCACAAAAATTATTGAGGGTCGATGTGAATAAGGCCAGTAAGCTCTGGGAATTTTTTACACGCGCGAACTGGTTTTAAAACGTGTTTCTCAGTAACTTTTGTACATTGGTGGCAACCAGGTCATGTCGTTATATATTTTATTTCTGATCATAATTAGAATTAGAATTACCATACCAGTCACAATAATATTTTCTCATGTCATTATTTTTTTAAAAATTATAATTAATAAATATATAAATAGCTATTTTATTACTTGTCAAATCCAAATCCAATACATATTAATTACAATATGTATGTATGTATATTATTATTTTGAAGTAAAATTAGGAAAAAAACCAGAATCTGAACTTGATAATTTCAAAAATAAATAAATATATATATGTGTGTTAAATGGTGGTGTGTGTATATATATTATCAATAATATACATCACATGGGGTAATGAATAGTTTGATGTATTGTCTCCATTTTCCCTGGTCAAAAAATGTGCCACACCCTCCACAACCTATAACCACCAAGTCTTTGCAAGCATGTAATGGTTTAAAAGCTTTCATACTATATTACTTTATACTTTCAAAGCACCATTCCCAGTGCCAAAATATCGTTCAATTATGAATCATTTACATCAACTGTTACACCAAGACTTCTATTGGCAGAAAACCCTATTAATGCATTTACCTCATTGAATATACCTATTGGCAATTTATGGACTTGTCTCCTTTTTTCACGTTTTTCTAAAATATTTGATCAGTTGAAGAAATTGAGGTATCTTCAATGATAGCACCAGCATCATTCCAAGAAATTATAACCATTTCAGGACTTGTCATTTGTGTATTTTCAGCAACTTCATTTGCAAAATCAGTTATAAACACAAATTGAAAAAATTTCTTTAATGTTGATGTAGTTTAATTGACCAAACATTCATGATAGGGTTATGAAGAATAGTTTCTCCAGATTCATTGAATTTCATGACAGCAGAGATACATTGTGTAAGTTTAACAAGCCTTAATGCATGAACTGTTAATGGTTCCTTGAAACATTTGTGAAATTGTCATTGCTGTGACTTGTATTTGCATTTATATTTGTAATAAATAAAGGTTTTATTTTTTTATCATCACCATTACCAAGCCTTTATTTAGATCATTTACAGCTCTTAAAGGTATCAGTAATTGAACCAAAGTCACCACCATTGTAGGAAAATACTCAACTTTGTTCAGTAGATCAATACATATGTATGTGAATGTGAAATTGATTTATCCTTTACTGTTCATACATATGCCAATAGCATATATTTTGTTTACATCTATAGAGATCTATAAAATTCTTAAATAATTCTAAATTTAGTTCCTTTAGCTTAATCCAATTACTAAATATTGGAATTAATTCTTGAACCAAATCATTTTCATATAATATTCTATATTTAATGATTCAACTAACATTCAATAAGGTTTACCATTAATCTAAGCTTTTTGATATTTTCCATTGGTAGTGATGAATTCATATATATTTAACAAAGAACCTCTAGAAATAAATTCTACATAACCTTTTCAACTTTTGTACATATAACTTTATTTATGTTATTGGTAATACAGATATCAGATGCTAAGCAACTATAATAACTATCCAAAATTTCTAGGTGTATTACTATTACTATTACTATTACCACCACCAATGATATGATCTGAAAGACTAAATCCCACACTATGATATTTAATTAATGTGGCTTCTTTTAACTCAAATAAATTCATATCACTATCTTGGGATTTATTTGTGTTATCTTAATTTTATTTTGTGCTTCAATCAATCTAACTCAGCCACCACAATTATTAGCATTGAAATATTGATCATAATGAATTACAAGTTCTTGAATTTTTGTACAGACATTTGTCAGTTTATCAATATTTTCTGGTTGATAATAATGATTTGCTAAAATCAATTCATAAATATTCTGGAATCAAACTGTTGAAATTAGCATGATCAATAAAAAGACAAATTTTTGAATTGGCAGCTTGGATTTTCCTGATATTTAAATAAATATCCAAATTAGTGTAAACCGCCAATTATTTAAATTATGTGATCCTTCCATAAGATCCAATTCGGTAGCAAATTTTTACATAATTGTATAAAGGTGACTAGCTTCTTTGATGGTTTATATGAAATGTTATTTTTAATGATGAAATATTGATCCTCCCTCCACCAATAAACTATTCATTATCATCAGAATACTTTTAACAAAGTGTATTTTTCCATAACATTGCAATGTCAATGTTTATTAACTAGAATGCAAGAATAAAGCCATTTAAATCTTTCTCTGAATCGGAATTAAAGGGAAGCTATTATTATATATGGGCCTACTGTAACAAAACCAGACAAAGTGAACATTGGTATTACCATTTGTTATCTTCTTAATATTAAGTGATATATGAATTACCTCTATATAAAAATAGTTAATATGAAGTTATTTTACATCAGGTCTACCATAGAGCCCAAAAATTATAGTAGAATTAGAGGTATTTTGAAGAAAGAATAAGGTGAAAAAATTGCTCCTTACATTTTCAAAATAAATAATACCCAGACACTGGAAGTTTATCCAAGAAAGGATTGCCTATGAAATTTACCAATAAGAAAGAAAAATAATAAATGTTAGGAAAAGAAAACATCATGAAAATTGCATTATTACCCAACAAAAAGCAAAAAACCTTAGAAGGAAAATAATCTTATTATTACAATATTGATGTATTTCTTTCTTTTAATTCTTTTAATCATGGTAATTATAAAACGTCTAAAGAAGTTATACCTGCTAACATAATCAGATTTATCATCACAATTTCCTTTATTCTTTGAAATATTGTTTTTATATTCATCAGCAGCTTTCATTTTTTAAGTCAGAAACAGTAGTTTTAACATAATTACATTTTGTAATCGGGAAGAATGTAAATCTTATTTTTATCAGTAATATCCTGTAGCTGTTTTTTTTATTATCATCAGTAAGGGACAAATTAACAAGTGATGAAGTCATAGAGGTGATTTTGTTCCAAATATTTTATTCATTGCCAGTATAGATTGGTCATGGGCAAATAATATCTTTGTATTCATCTTTCACAAATGGATGAATATTCTTGTCTTTTGTAATCCAAAGGAGGTGTTAACACTAAAATAGATAAAGATTTAATTTCTTCAAAAATATCTGCTTTCTTGGTTTTAATAAATTGAATTCAGTAAAAAATCCATTAGCAATTTCTTGAACTTTCACTGTATCAATATTAGAGAAAATGTTGATATCTCTGTATGCTTGATAATTTCTTAAAATAAATTCCCAAAATAGATTTGATATCCAAGTATTGAAAACCTTTTCCACTTTTCATAGCATTGAGTTTTATTCAATCCTGCTGGACTGGATCTTTTCACAATATCAACTATATGGTCTAGACAATCTACACTTGTTTTTCTGTAGAGTTTTTTAATCATCCAAAATTACCATCACATTTGACTTTGGTATGTCCAGGAATCATGAAATTCAATTTAATACTTTCATAATAACCACAAATTACCAAATATAAATAGAACCAAATTGTTACATTAATTTTATTTTGTCCACCAGCATTATTATCACAGATAATCTTTAAATACTTTCACCTTGTTCAATTTCTTAATTCCATCAAATATCATGCTAAGTGTGCCATCTAGTCCTTTTCCTATGATTTTATCTTCATCAAGAACATAATAATTTGCTCCCTTGCTGCTTCATCTTGAATACTAAATAAATGGACTTTATGAGGACTAAGATAATAGATTTTATTTACTTGTTGATCTGAATGTGGTATATGAACATTTGGGCTCAATCATAACTATAATGTGCAGTAGCATTAATACTGCAATACTGTGTTTTACCCTTTGAATAATGTTGATCAACTAGTTTTCTTTGTTCTTTTGTATTTTTATTATAATAATTTCTTTCTAATCTTGCCTTGGACAGATGTTCTTTAAATCTTTGAGTAAATCTTTAGCCCATTCCTCTTGGTGAGCATTGTAATGTAAACCATTTTGAAAATGTTGACAAGTATCACACAAGTCAGTCCTTGGACTCATAATTTGAATCTCTGGTGTTAATTGATGTCACAGTTTTCTAAATGCATCATATTTTAAGGATTTCAATTTGCTATTTTCTTCCAAACCAGTAGAAAATCCTCTATACACTGATTTTATAACTCATTTCAGCTGTCAAAAATATAACTGATTGAGTTATTTTATTGTTACCCTTCCTGGGCTTGGTAAGCCATGAACTTCTGCATAATTTTCCAGAAAGTTCTTTACAACTGTGGCAATATTTTTGTCAATTACCATCTTAGTTTTCCATTGAGGTAACCTTTTAATATTACCATGAATTCTTGCTAAAAGACCATCGTTTATCAGATGATTTCTGATATTTTCAAAATAAGTTCTAGCAATCCCTATCATATTAAAATGAGTTCCTTGACAAAAGAGTGTATTGTAATCCCAGTGATAGAAAGTTCTTTTGTTAGATCTAGTTTTCTTTCTAAGGCATCTACTAATGCTTGTTAACCCACCATCCATTGCTTTAAGTTAGGCCATTAAAAAATGTCTTGTTCATATTTGGAAAGAGCTTGAAAAGGTTCCCTTAATTCTGCAAATTCTTCCTTGGGAATTCTTGAAGAACAACCACAATTATAACCTTTTTCTGAAAAATCAATTGCCTTTTCATATTCATTAGAACCATTATATCTATTATTTTCATATACACTTATCCCTATATACATATATTTTATGTTCACTTGTGGTTTTTTTATAATTTAATATTTTTTAGATTTAAATTTGAATGGAAAGTTGGTGTTCAATTTATTATAAAAAATCTTGACAATCTTGACTAAAGAAATACAAATAAAGATCATTGAAATCATTAATTTTGAGACTTAATTAGTGCCGATTGGGGCAAAAAATTTTATTTTCATATTAAAATTAATTTGGTCGATTTTTTTGCCCCCACAAAAAGTCACACATTTATT